CGAAGGACATTGGACGCGGCCGCCTAGCACGTAGCCTTCGCTACCGCGGCCGCTCCAACGGTATCCGCGCGCTCTGATTGGTCAGTGTTTTTCGTTAATATCTCCTCAACGAAGCCTCGGATAACATTTTCGCTAAGGAAAAAGTTGTTTCAAATCACCCCCCGAACCACCCCTTTCAAGGTGTTACAACATTTTTGGGACACCCTGTATATTTTAAATAGTATTTTGTAATAAAACAATTCTAATTGAATTATTTTGAAAATTAATTCAGATTAAAACAAATAATCTGTAATTGTCTCCTAAATTATTAATCGAAATATAGGAGTTTTAATAGAATTATTCGACATATAGAACAAAATATTCGATGAAATTTTATTTATGTATTGTTTTAAAAGAATGAACGTGAATAGAAATAATACCTGATCGAAGGCAGGAAATATGTAATCCGCGAATTGAATTTCCGCAATAGCTGTTACACCCGCAGTAGCTAAACCAATTCCAAATCCAGCGATTCCTTGTTCGCAAAGTGGCGTGTTGAAAACGCGGTCTTTACCAAAATCTTTTTGAAGATCAACCGTGCAACGAAAAACACCGCCAAACGCCACGTCTTCTCCAAATATCACTAGTCATAGAAAATAATTACTTAGACCTCGTTATGCAATCAACATGAACGTAACAATATACGCAGTACTAAGTATACAGAACATTGCTTTTGTGTATTCCAAGTATAATATTATAGAAAGCAAAGAGATTTTTAAATATTTATGTATGAATGATTAAGATATTTAAACATGCAATCGCAACAAACGGAAATTTTAATAAAGTATTTATAATGCATATATATTCTACTTAATTTAAGCCATACATTATCCTTGGTATTGAATATGCTTATAATTGAAATCAACGCTTGTGCATAATCACGTATAAGTATTATGAAATACTTGCTGATACGTGTTCATGTATTACAATGAATGCGTTATCGCATTTCCAAGATAAGATAAAGGAAATAGTTTACGTTTTCGTCAGAATATTTAGCGAGCATTTGGTAACATTATCAATCAGTACATTAATCGTTTCCTAACACAATAATACATTTTTATTTCGTCACGTTTAATGTAACAATTTTGATAAATAGTTATTTTTACCGATAAATGTGAATTATCTTATACACGTTATATATTTCTGTTTAAATTCCAAGTATCGAGAAGAAATGTTTTTTTAAGTAGATAAGAGCGAGAACTAATATTTATTTAGCCTACAGTTATTAGATATATTTTATTAATTATATTTAATAAATGTAGGAATGATTCTTGCTCTTATCTGCCTGAAAAAAACAACATTCCTCTTCTGTGAATTTATTGATATTTCACAGCAAACAAATCCAAAAATTATTTATCATTTTATTTAGAAAGTATTACTGTTACCTGCATCGGGATCGTCTGTTAACGCTGTCCGAAGTCCTTGATTTATCGCTTGATACATATTCAGCTTTTCAATCTTACCTGAAATAAAAATAATTCACGGGTTCATAGCAGTCGATTTCTTACGTTTATTTATTGCATCGAGTTTCATAGATCTGAACTCAATTCATTATCAACGCGGAAGTGTTGCGCGGTCTTAATCAATCCATTAACAATGGCCAGCTTTGTATCTAATTTTTTTCATTCAAGACAATCATCTTGACGTACCCCTATCGAGTCGCTTTTAATTAGATTTAAATTGGTTTGTTACCACAAATTGATGCTAATATTGTTACCGTGAAAAATCATAAAAATAACTGAACGAGCAGTTTCAATTATTTTATTTAAACGTTTCGACTACGTATATCGATTTTATTTTGTGCTGAATAATATATAAATTCTTGACCTGTTTACTAGATTTTTTCATTGAAAACAAAAGAGCTTTTTAATATTCAAAAGTTGTGATGCTACTCTACGTAAATTGTATTCAAACCACTATCTAGTCTCTAGTATTTATAACAAAATTATCGTTAAATAAAATATTCGAAAGTATACTTGTTCAAGAATTTTTATGATGATTCGTTATCACATTTTTATCGATTAATTAAACGCCGTTAAAAAGGTAATGCTGAAACTTACCGGTAGCATTCTTATTCGTGTTTTTATCCGTATAGTAGTTGAAGTGTATACACCTGACATTCTCGCGTAGCACGTATCTATCGACGGAACAGAAAATTAGAGACGCACGAGCGTTCAGGAACCGTGTCCACAATTTACTGAATATCATCGTGGATAAATGTCGTTTGTAACAGCGCGACGATAGCGCGTAGCTTTATCTCCTAACCGGTATTTACATACAATATGGTATTGAAAAACGCGCGAGCTCCCGTGCTCGACCTAATCTGAATTTCGTAAACAGCTCTAATCGAGATACAAGCGCCTCCGCGCTTGTAAATGTTTAACACACAGCTAAAGAAACATTTTAATGTACCTCTGATACTTTCCGTATACCTTTCGTCGAGACAACGAACTACGAATGAGATTTATTACACTTAGCAATTATCTAGCTATAACTTTTCTGAAATGTTTATTTTGTAGAAAATTTAATTTGTATGTTTAGTTACGTGTTTCAAATAACAGAAACGTAGTTAGAAATTTGAAATGTAAGGTAATACTGCACCCTGTTTACTAGATGTACCGATAAATGCCAGCATTTACAGTAAAAGTTACCATAAACTTATTCAGTGAAATACTCCACCCTGCTTATCAGACGTACCGCTAGATGGCATCATTTACGCTTACCATAAGATGTGTTGAGTGAGATACTACATCTTGTTTACGAGATGTAGCGCTAGATGGCATTATGTACTCCCAAAACAAAGTTACCATGGTAACCGCAAGTAAGCGACGCTTGTAAACGTCAGCAAACCATTCGGTTTGTGGTAGCGAGATTACAATAGTGACAATTGATTCAATATCGTGAAAAATGGGTCGCACCGATTTGGATAGAATATTATCGATAGATCCGTCGTCATTAACGGATGACGATATGGAGGATCTTTACCCTGCCATGATTAGTTGCGATGTAGATGAGATTAGTAACCTGCATAACCTAAGAGTCCTAATGAAAGTCTCTCAGGAAATACTACAATACAAAGACAATCAAGTAAACATAATTATTCTGTATTTATACTGTCATAAACTACTATCAATATTATATTTTAACCATTGTTTGTGTGATGGTTATTTAATGAAAAGATATATGCTTTCTGATTCTTCTATGACCGAGCCATTCCTATTAAATATTATGATATGTAAAATATTCAGAGTATACATCATGAATTAGCACAATAATATTTTTCACTTAACATAGATTTTTTGTATTCATGTAAGCTATAAGTAACATGAAATCCACACTCTAACGATAATTGATACAGAATTAGAATATCAAGGAATACAGTAAAGTATGGTATTCATAAAAACATTTTCCAATAGGTAGAGTCATTACTTTTAGAATGCGGTAAATTAAAAGAAACTATTACTTCTTTGAAACCTGAGCCTGCTAAGCGTAAAAAGAAAGGTAAACAGTGTGTGCTTTTAATCAAACAAAATATAGGTTATTTCTTTTTAGAGTATATTAAATTACAGTACTATAAAAGAATTTCTTTTTAAATTCCATTCCATAGATTGGGATACATCTGATACAAAACATGGAACCGATGATATATCCAAAGTAAGATAAACTATTAATCATTTAATTTTAATACATACACACTTATGGTATTCTTTGTAAAGCTAGTTGTGTCATTGTTTTAAGCATTTGGATATACCAGAAAGTACTGATTACAATGATGAATTACAAGGGAAAAATAAAAAGATTAAAATTCTTATGACAGAACTAGAGGTAAGATTAGGATGAAATAAAACATGGTTGAAGTGGCCTGTTTGTGTTGCTTACTTTGCATAATTCTGTAGAGCTTAGAGAAGGAGAACGTAATTTTGAAAGAGCAGTTAACAACTTTAACACTAGAAATGGAAGATGCAACGCAAAAGATGAACGAGATGACAGGAGAATTGTCTTCCTCTCAAATGAAATTCACAGAATACAGAGGTTGTAGTAGTAAAAAGTATTTTGTTTACTTAAAATCTAGTTATAGACGAATTCTCGGTCAAATTGAAAGGGTCTCTGCTTTCAGACAAAATATCGTACTTGGAACGCGAGAATGCTGCGTTAGTTGCTCAAATTGAGGAAATAACTGCCCAGCAAGTAGATAGAGATAACGTAATAGATGAATTCGGTGCAGCAATTGACACTAGAATTAACGAATGGAAGGTACACATAACTACAATTCATGTCAACTTCGGTTGAGTTATTCAATTCTTTACGTATCTTTTTTTATCAAAAATTCTTTAGGCAATATTAGATGAAAAAGATGCTGAAATTCAGCGACTACAGGAAAATTTGCAACAGTCACTTATACAATCTGTGGCGTCTGTTAAAGAACAAAATAAATCAGAGATTGTTCATTTAAACGAGGAATTAGAGGTTCGCGATAAATTTATCACCGAATTAAAAACAAAGCTTTCCGAAGCTGTAGTTGAGATTAACGAAAGTGCGACGCTTATAGAAAAGCTAAAAGCAGACGCACGAAAGTATGTATAATTAAGGGTAAATAAAGATGGTGGTAGAAGATTTTTATTTAGAGATAATTCATTCGGATTTTGCGTAGGGTTGGAAAAAATGGCAAAAAGAAACAGCACAAAGATTTGCTAAAAAAATTGCAAGATGCAAATGAGCAAATATCTAAGTTGCAAATTAAATTGACAGAGGCAGAGGAAGATGCCCAATTAAGAAGCAGTAAAGTTAGTTTATCATATATTTTTTATTTAGGAAACATGACGTCGGTTCCTAACGACTTTTTCTTGTTCAGTTGTGCGAAGTATTAGTGACTTTAAGGAAGTACGAGGATGAAAATCAAGGCCTGACGGATGCGCTGAATGAAATAAAAGTGTTACAGGATGATCAGAAGGATAAAAATGAGCATATCAAAGACTTAATTAACGTCGTTAACAAACTGGAAATGTTAAATTCGTATCAAGAAATGGAGATCGTAACTCTTAGGTAATTACATATGCCACTTTTCCCTTTGTCCATTGAACTTTATAAAAGACTAAACACCGATAACACGAACTGCAGAGAAAAGCTAGGAATTCCAGAAGATGAATCAGTGTCGATACAGAACGTTATAGAGAAACGTAAAAAGGAAGCAAAGAAGTTAGAAAGTCTAATGGAACAAAATAAAATCCTTGTTGAAGAAAATTTAGAAATGAAATCAGATGTAAGAATGAGACAGTCATAGTTACCGAACTCTTGTTATTTGACCGAAGTAAAAGTTTCTAAATAACGCCATTAATTTTCTAGATAAGGGTATTAAAATATAAATTAAGTAAGACTTCGAAAGTGTTAGACCTCTCGGATTACACCGTAGACGGTAGTACTGAATTTTTACATTCGACCAAATTGCCAGAGTCCGAACTTCAATTGTTGTATCCTAAATCGACCATGCAACAGGACATGCAGCTACTTTTAGAAGAGAACGAAGCTCTCAGAACTGGCATGCACGAAATTTTGGACAGTATACGTAATCAAGACGGTGAATTTCCACTAATTTTAATGGTACTTTAACGATGCACTGTCTTCTTCCTTCTATTCACGCAAGAACATACTTCAATTGCTCTTCATTCTCGATCTATTTCTAACCCACACAAGTACTCTATCGAACACGTATACTAACCATGGTCACGAAGATTAGATCGTCTTCAAGAAAATCCTAATTAATTTTATATCGTTGCATGTGCAAAAACATTGTGTACATTAATAGTTTAATGTCTCAGGTAAAAGCATAGTGGAAATACAGTCTAGCGCGTTAGAAAGGTTGCTAGAAGCTTTAGATGTAAGACATTTAGCTGGCTGGTACCACCCAGCAATGAGGTTGCAAGAACACTTGAACGTTGTACAGGGTAGCAATGCTGAATTACGAGGACAGCTTAAGCAGTTGAGGTACATTTATAGAATACTCAGTGGTTTTAATTACCCATACGGCACACAATATTGATGAAACATGTTTAGAATATCGCAGTAGCTTCTCCATGTCGAATATTTACTTTGTTCTGCACACATAAAAAGATACTTTGAAAGGAATATTGAGCTGAATTATTACAGTAATGTATCCACAATGTTCCTGAGATATGTTGCGTCGTATGGGTAGTGCTATGTTGCGAATCGTAAGGCTAAAATTTCGCAAAAAATATTGTAGAAAAGAGCTGCAAAGAAAGGACAAGATATTTCAGGCTCTAGCCTTGAACAAGAATACGGACATCGAGAAAGTGTACGCGGAAGAGTCTGACAGTGAAAAAGCGACGATGTATCTCTCCGAATTGAAAAGGTTGCAAGAAGTGTACGCTAATGAAGCGGACGATTGGGAAAATCAGAAGGACTCGTTGAAACAGCTGAACAGCGAATTAAAAACTGAGATAGAAAAGCTGAAATTGCAGCTCGATGTTTACGAGCAGAGTTCAAAGATACTAGAAGAAGGTGATGACGAAATAAAAAAGGCTTACACGATTAAAACCAAAGAGTACATAAAAGCTGCCAGCGAGGTTCTCATAATAAACAGAAAAAACGCTGCTCTTCAGCAACTTCTGGACAAAGAAACTATGAAAGCGTATCACGACCATAAGGAAGTGATAAAAAATGAAACATACTTAAGGAGGGCTCATGCTGATGCAAACAAGCACAACAACATTCTTGAACGAGAGATTTCGATATTACAAAGCAACCTGTCCAATTCGGTTAGCAAAACAACGTACAACGAACTTAAAGAGAAGCACAAAGAACTGAGCATACGATATCGCAATTTGTTAGAAAATCATATGGTGTCCCAAAACGATAACGAAACACAGATATTGACGAAGGAGTTGGAACTCTTGAAGCAAGAGAAGAATCAACTCATCGAGTTGTTGCAGAAGGATTATGGTTCCGAAAGTCAGGAGGACTTAACGCATCAGTTGAAGGAAGCCAAGGCTAAGGAATTGCTGGAGAAGCAACGTGCCGATCACGTGACCAGCTTGCAAGAAATCTTGCAGGTCCAGTTATCAAAGTGCGAGGAGAATATCAAAGATGTGACTGCTGCCAAGTCCGAATTACAGGAGGAACTGATAATCCTGCACAAGAGACTCGCGAAAGACGTGTCCTTCGAGAAGTCTCTGCCTATAGACGACAACAGAATGCAGGAATTGAAGGACAGTATCGAGCAGTTGAAGGTGGAAAACGAGAAGTTGACGAAGTCACTTCGAATCTCTGAGGAAGAAGCTGAGAGACAGTATAAATTGAATTCGTTGAACACTTCGGAGTTGGACAGCCTGATGCACCAGATTCTGGACTTGCAAGCTGCCAGTGAAGATAAAGCTACCATCTCAAGGCTCGATTTCGAATTGGCGAGCACGAAAATGGCGGAGATGGAACTGAATGCTCAGAAAGCACGATTGGAGAACGAGGTGTCTAGTTTACAGGAGGAGCTCGATAAAGCAAGGACAACGTGCGAGGGGTTGCGTTCTTATGTGCAGGATTGTCGTAAACAATGCGAAACGCGATGCAGGTGAAATTATTATTTAATGAGTTACTTGGTCCTTCCCTAGCGGCAGGTGAAACCGAAGGTATATAAGGCGACTCGTTAGGGCATGCTGATTTATTAGGTGCAGAAATTAATTCTCTGTCTTTACATTTAATTATTTGTAACTCTGGTCTAATAAGAAATATTTATCTACCACTTTTTTTTTTAATTACATTATACTACTATATGTACTTTTTTTAAATCTGTGGGTCAGAGGAATTGAAGATTGGTTGGTCTTTTTAAAATAAATAATTGGTAAGTTTATCTTAGAAAGGCGTATAATTAATTTCTACATCCAATAAAAAAGAATTTGGATTAAAGGTTTCGATCCTTGTCATGGGTTAAGTGGAAGAAAAAACTGTATGATAGTTTTAGACGTAAACAAAAAGTATTTCTTCATACTGCCTTGGGTAAGAGTAAGCTTTGGAAATAAAGACTGTCGAAGAATGTATTTTTGAATTAAATAGAATTAGAATAGTCTGATAGAATAGGCCGCTTGGGAGGAGAGGACTAAATTTTTATTTACATTGTATAATGACCGGTCGCATTCTAATCATTAGGATCTATTTGCAGAACGTACGTAGACACTATAAGGTTCCTGCAGAATCAATATGCAGGTTCCACTTCCATCAGTGCTTTAGATAGAATAATTTCGTTATCGTCGAAGTTGAACCAAGAACGACAGAACGTTGACTCCGAATTAAAAAATGCGAGAGAGTGCCACGAAAGCGCCAAAGTTCAACAAGAGATGTTAACCAATCGCTTGCAAATTGTCGAGAGCTTGAAGGATATTTTAGAACAACAGATTGGAAGTAATAGCGTGCAGGATATCGTGCAGCGCTTTTCTGAATATTCGCAGTACACTTTAAACGTACGTCTTGTATAAATATTTTTCAATCGTAGCAATTAGTATCAATTCTATTTTATCCGACTTTACTCGATCTGAAATAGCACGAATATAAAAATCCTGAATACTTCTCAGAGTATTTCTGAGAAACACGCACAACTTTTTTTTTTATATAAATTACTTTACTATAGATCGAAAACAGAATAAAATTCTTGTCAATGAAGCTTCGTTTTCGAGAAAGTCGATTTTTAAATGTGTATGTTCAGCGCATGCGTCAACCGAGCAGGACAAGCACACGACAAAATTCTATTCCACATTTTCGATTTATTTTTGACCGAACAATTACCCTTTATTTAACTAAAAATCATTCCATGATGTAAGTACCTAACAACGGCAACATACTCACCACAGCACTACGCTTGAACTAAAATTTTTACATTTGTTTCAAAGCACATGCCTCCCAACTGTCTATTAATTAAATTCCATACGATAATAATACCAAAAATTAACCAGGATTTCAAGTACAAACGAAAGATAACTCAATTGGAGCACGAGTTGCAAATCGTCAACGACAAATTTGCGGAATACGAGTCGCTCGTAACCAGCATGGAACAGGACATGATGCAAGTTCAAAAGGCTTGGTCGAGAGCTCAAGAGAAACACGGGAAAGCCGACGTGCGCAGCACAGGGACCAGCCCAGTGTCTCTAGAAAATAAACACGAATCGGTTCAAGCAACGACAGCGACGCAATCCGGGGAGATACAAACGGATCCTTACACATGTTGTCTGGATAAGAAGGACACGAGCGAAGTTGAAGTTCAGACCGCCTCGCCTCTGAGAAAAACAGGACTAGGGGGATCGCCTTCGAAGGAGAAGCAAACAGAACAGATCGATGCAGCGGAGCACAAGGACGCAGAAACAGAGCAAGAAGAAAAACTAACGCGAATGGAGACCGAGCCGAGAGGACAGACAATGGAGAAAGACGCGACGACGGAAAGGAGCGAGCAGCCCGAGGTGTCCTTGCTTCGCGAGCAATTAAACCAGACTTTAAAACTCGCCTCTGAACGGTCCGTGACATTAGTCATGTACGAATCGCAGATAGCGGAGTACCAAAGGCAGGCGACGGTATTGAAGAAATCGATAGAGAGCAAGGATTCGCAATTAATGCAGAAGGAAAAACTGCTGGAGGAGTACAGGTTATCGTCTCGGCCGGAGCCACCAAGCGCTGACTCCAGTGACAAACTTGCCCTGAAGTCGACGATAAACAGTTTGCAGAAGCTTCTCGGTCAGAAGGAGGAAACCATAACCAGGTATCAGAGTCTGCTGAAGGAGGACAGGGACGAGCACAGCAAGGCTGCTGCTCGATTGCAGGACGAGATCAAGAGCCTGCACGGTCGAATTCAGTCGATGGAGAGCGAGATCCGCGAGTCGAATCAACGAAGTACCGTCGAGAACGTCGAGCCAGAAAAATTGGCCAAAGAGACGACGAATGAGATCGCTGTGAGAACTGTCGCCAAGAGTAACGCCATGCAAGTCGAGGAGGTAGCGAGGCTTCACGAAAAGGTCTCGAACCTCGAGGCGGATCTGAATATCACCAGAGAGTTGAGCGATCGCTGGCATCTGCTAGCTGAAGAGAGACTGAAGCACATGGATGGTATGAGGGAGAGGTGAGTCGATGTAAGAACGAAATGGTGTTCGAAGTACAGTATCTTCCACTTGTAAAAAATAGATGTATCCTGTATAGGATTCAGAGGCTTCGTAAACACTGTCTTTGTTTATCTGGAATGAGGGGAATTTTATCTTGCGATGGAAATTACAAATTATTTTGTGAAAGTCTTATCAATGGATTGGCGAGGACTTCCTGAAAAACATGACTCCAAACGCGACCTTGTTCGGACTACTTTTAATTACATCCTATTCCAGTGATTCTCAAACTGAGAGATACTTATTTTCCAATGAAACGCCTGTAAATGTTGAGCATTTTCGATTAATACCTTCACGACGCTCTTGCTTCTTATTCAGTAATTCAGTCTTATGAAATATGAAATTGTTTGCATTTAATTAGTTAATAAATAAAATTGTTAGGTACTTCTATAAGGGTACGACCTACAGTCAGTGTAAGAGTCGAGACAATGTTGCTAATATACCAAAGACGGAGTAAAAAATTCCTCGAGCTATTAATAATTCCCTGAACAGAAACACGTCGAAAACTTCTGTTTAAATTAAACAATAGTCCAAACGTGGTCATGGTTGGGCTCATTACCATCGAGGGAGCGTTGCCTATTCGTTGATAATACTGCCAAGAAGATACGGAATAAAAATGTCTTTCTCTCTATATATATGCTGTACCTTGCTCAAAACTGAACGCACCTAATTCAATTTCTTACAAATGGAAGTTACGTACCTGCTTCTTCTTGCTCAGACTCGAGGAGCAACACAAAAGCGAGCTCGAGAGTTATCGTGGAGAATTGAAGAAGTGGCAGTCCGAGGCGGACATGCTTCGCAAAGAATTGGCCGAGAATCGCATATTGCTTACGAAAGGGAACATTTCGTTGATGAAGGAGCTGCAGGAGAGGGACGACAAAATTCACGAGCTCAGTCTGACCTGCCAACAGCTTCAGGTACTATACTAGAAGAAAAATAAGAATTCTCAGAGCGCAATGCTCCCAAAACTTTGAACTCATTTCGTTTTTCCTGCGCGAAGAACGAGGTTGAGTTAATGGGGTCTGCGACCAGATCCCAACGAGCCATAACGCACAGTGAGTCCGAAAGGAAGACTCACGAAATTACTTTGGCCTTTAATCGCGATCAGTCGCAGCAACAAGCGCAGACGGAGGTTGTGCGCAAACAGCTGCAGTCGTTGCTGGAAAAGGAGAAAACGTACAAGCACGAAATTTCGGAATTGAAGCAACAACTCAGCCGCAGGTAGTCTTTCATTGGGGAAACTTTCATTTGCGTGGCATAGATTTTCTTACGAACGAGCACATGATTCATTAATTCTATCATAGATACATGGCTGTGAAGTCCCAGGAAAAGAAAACTTCGCAAAGGGAAGCGCAGCTCGAACGTAAAGTGAAGAGTTTAGAAGAAGATCTGGAGAAAGCTCGAACTCAATTAGATCGCGAATTTTTAGTTCAGGAGGCGAAGAAGGTTAAGGTGATGATTTTTGTACAGGATACAGTGATCCCTCGATATAATCATACGAATTATTTATTAGATATTTATTAAAATGTCTGTATTTTTCCATGTATTTTCACGAAGGCGTTATCAATCTATTGATGAGGTGATTGAAACGAGTCCGAACACGACCACGTTCGAACTACTTTTACTTATATATTTCAAAATATTGCCCAATAACGTCTAATTAAAAATAGTTCAAATATAGTCATGTATGGATTCACTTTAATCGGGAGAACCTAACGAGTTCATTGATACTAATCTAGCTAAAATATCATTAAAAAAGATTTCCGAAATAAAATCTCGTCCCTCCCTCGATATAAATACATCGGTATCAAGGAATCACTGTATTTCTGAACTGCAATTACGAAATGCTTCCTGTAGACCGCAGAGGAACTTTCACTATGGGAGAAGCAAAAGAAATGGCAACAAACCGCCGAAAAATTGAAAGAGAAGCTCAAGGAGAAGACAGACGAGTACACGAAATTGCTTTCGAGTTACGACAAACTCCGATCGGTAGTGATGTGTATGGAAAGGGAGAAGTGGTACTTGAAGAGCAAACTAAAAATGGAGAACAGCACCATAGCTGGAGGTCTGTCCGCCAGACCTATCGCAACCACGCAACAAAGCGTGACGGAGGAGCTTCAGAAAGAGTGTCAGAATCTGCGAGAGCGCGTCAAGGAATTAACGGATCGATTAGAGAACGAGGACAACGAGAAGCTTCTGCTAAAAATCGAGGAACAAAAGAGACGTATCGCTGCATTAGAAGTTGTTTCTCAGGTCAGTCGCCGGTTCAACGCGAGTCATTTCACTCTTTATTATTGGAACCAAGTTGCAGGGGTGGGAGTATTCCAAGATTCTATAAGTATTCTGCTTCCTCCACCTCCCCCTCCTCTCGAGTTATATATCCTGACGGTTTTGCATATCCGATAGAAAAGAGGTCACCGTTTCCTTATTTTTCTAAAATAACACTGTGATATTGTGATATTGAACATTCTACTATAAATATGTTTAAAATTAGAGGAGAAGAGGCGCGTTAATATCAAGGAATACAATTGGCTTTGATTCATTTCTTACTATTGTTATTAACCTTGGTAATTCTATCGTTAACAAAATTTAGAACTCATTTTACTTGACAAGCTACGTAGATTTTCTCGAATATATACACGAATGACGAATGTACGATTAACGTAACAATTAATTGAATACCACGGACTGGACGTTTTAACTCGGGAGGGCAGTATTCCGCAGAGAATGGGTGTCCTTCCTCGGGGAAATCCCGTGGCCTCAGCGACGGTCAGGTCCAGTGACGCACCTTTGTGTACATACTTGGCTTAGCAGTCGCGTGTACAGGAAGGACTTGAGATACCGATGAAGATAAAAAATGTCCATGAGTGATGATCACTGCGTTTTCATTGTAGCAGTGTTATTCGTCGCTAGTTTATGTGATAACAAATCCCTGACCAATAGTGAAATGAGCTTTCAACATAATTGTGATCGTTAAATTGAAATTCCCTCTTCTAAAGTACCATGAGTATTCGTACCTTGTATATTTATTGAAGAAATTTGTCTGATTGAAATGAATCCATCATGATTCCAAATAAATTTGTAATTGTAAATATATACGCTTGCGAAGTTTATTCGTGTACATATTTATAATGGAAAATTGATTGGGAAACGTGAAGCCTATCATTTAAATTAGACAAATTTCTTGAATAGATGTAGAGGTTACGAATACTTATGGGACTGTCTGTACACACACACACACACACACATGTATAGATTTAATGAATGTTTGAATAACTCCCACCTCTATCGAGTTTCAATACTACTCCTGGTTGAATACAACTTCCACTCGACGCAGTTCTAATATTTATGAACGTTTCGCAGGGAAACAGCTGCGTGGCGATTGAGTTAGAAAAACTAGAAATGACCAAGGATATCCTCGAGAAAATGAATTTAGCTTTCGAGAGTGAGAATTTCGAGCTAAGGCTCGAGTTAGAAAAGGTGAACGCGGATGTGCCGAGATTGCGAGAGAAAGTCGAGCACTTGGAGAAGTAGGTGTCCCTAAAATCATTTTTCAGGTTTACAGGATGATTAATTACAGAGCAGTTTTACCATTTGTTGGCAAGTGCCAACTACCTTTAAATTGTAAAGGGACAAGGTAAATTAATTGATCAATGCACCAAGTCAGGGAAATTTAAAATGACTGATACAGTCTACTTAGGAACACCGACATTTTTGTAAAACTATTCTCCGATTCAAATGCATGGAATACAAGTATTTTATTCACATCCCGTACATTGCTCACTAATCTTTCCGTCTATGCAGATACATAGAGTTGCTGAAGGTAGAAAAATCGTCAGATTCGACGTCAAGGTTGTCCGACAGAGACTCGCACGACCACGGTTCGAAAAAGTCTATCTTGGAAATGGAGAAGACGATTTTCACGTTGAAACGAATCATCGAGAAATTGCAGGCGGAGAACAAGCGACTGAGGATGGGTTCGAAGAAGAACGACATCATGCATCAGGCACGAAAATAATTTTGCGTATTCGTTGCACCGTGCTCACTCCGTTTACCACTCTTAGAAATTAATGTTTTACTGCACTAATTTTATTTGATTAATAAATTGTATCTTCGCTTATGTATGTATATTTATAAAGTTGTCGCTATGAATCTGCACTGCTACTAGATGTCTCTTTATAATTGTCCTTTCGTTTACTTGAGTTAATTCAAAATTAATGTGCGTTTATTGGTCGTATTGACTTTAAAAAATTCTGAAGCAGAGGGTTAACCATTCATCGATTTTTCTGGTTAGGGCAAATTCGCGACTAGACAGAGCGATAGCGCTCTCCAAAGACAATACGAGGAAGCCCAGAAACGCGTGGTGGCGTTAGAGACGGATCTGCAGCTGGCCGAGCAGAGATTAGTTGCGTTCGAAAGGGCTCAAGCTGAGGATGACGGCGGGGAGATAAAGGTTTTGAAGGATCAGTTGGTCCACAAGTCGGAGCTCTTAGACAAAGTCAAACATTTATTATCTAGGGCGGCCGTGAACGAAAAAAGTCTTCGGCAGCGTGTAACTATATATTTTACTATATATTTTATTTTAGGGTTTAACAAAATACATTTGCAACAAGAGGAACAACACATTAAAAGCTCGTTTGACTTTCAGGTACAGCTGTTGGAATCGAGACAAGCGTTGTCTGTAATACCAGAGTGCCACGTGACGCCTGCCACGGAGTAGTCATCGTTCGGTGAGTCAAATGCTCTTAACGTATTTATTTATTGACGAAAATATTGCAAGAAAAACGAAAGATCCAGCTTTAACGTCTACAGTAGCTATTCATTTTATCCTAATATTTTTAATTGACGAAATCTCGGTGCATAAACTCGAGTAAAAATAGTAGACAAGGAAGAAAAGTTTTTTGTTCAAATTATAGAACTGCATCTTTCGACAATTTAGCGAATATGTATTTTATGATTACTGTGTTCATCATTTTATTATTATACCAATCTTTCTTTCTTCTTGTAATACACACCACTACAATCGTGTGAGATCTGCCGTATCTTGTATTCTTTCTTTCCATCGCGACAGTTTGAGCAACACAAGGCTCTCTTCATTTCATAAACTATCTCCGTTTTCGAAGACATCTCGTAACTCGTTTTCTCTTCTATTCATTAATTGTCACTCGATGCTACTAAACGAATACTTGGAGTATTCCAACCTGAGACCGGTAAGTCAAGAAGTCAGCAACAAATGTACTGGAGAGTTGGAAAGAATGCTTCTGGATGAGAGATGTAGATTTTCTTCTCAAAATATTCTTAATAATTTATTCCATAATAAATTTGCTTTTCAGAATATCTGGAGAAGATTATTCCATTTTTTGTCGGGATTTGTTGTCCCATAAACCACCGTCAAGTCGGGTTCCTTTTACGTGTCGGGCATCACGAGCATTCTTTGTAGCTCCTTGCAGTACCAATTTGTCTTGAAAAATATAATCGTGGTAGCACCGAAATTGCGCCTATCTTTGCACTCTGGCCAAGGATCGTCAAACCAAAGATAAGATGCTCTACGAAGAGTACGAATCGCGCCAGGTTCTGTACCCCTAACTAAAGTTCTCCGTGCGAATTTAGGCGGGTCGTTTGGCGGATATAACGTAATTTTTTACGGCGAGAACTAGTCGCCGATAACCGAAAGCAGGGATTTAGTAATCGTTATCGAGTGCTTGAAGGAATGGTTGGATCGAACCCTCATCCTCGCAGTCGGGGATGAGCTTCCCTTTGTACTTGACGCAAGAATCGGCGCACTTCTGGCCCAGGAAGTACGGCCCGAACATTTTCTTGCACTGGGCGCAGTTCCTTATGCAAACGCCTGGAAATTGCAACAAAACACTTTATTGAACAGTTATCCATTTATCTTCGAATTTAAATTGGGATATTTCTTTGTGTCAATGCGAACTCTCTCTAAGCTCAGAATTTTTTAGCAATAGCGTAACTGTTTGGAAAGGTGATCTTTCGTTATTTTTAGCTTCAAATATTTCTTGAGACGAAATAAAACGATAGCAATATAATTCGAAACTTACCAATGGCTCGATCGAAAGGCGTACCCGCGGCGAGCACAAATATCATAGCTGAGGCTACGAGAATCGCCAATAGTACGCGAGTGGATGACCTCATGGCTGAAACAGATACGGAATTCAGATTAATCAATTAATTTTTAATTAATCGATCACATTGCACGTTTGATTTGTTTTTTATTCCTCGCAAAGAAATAGTCCGATACTAATCACTATCTTCAAAACTCTGACAGCAGTAATTTTCAACATGAACAACTTTACACTAAAACTTAATTAGCAACAATTTTTATCGCATCGATGATCATGGAAATGGTTTGAGTCAATGTTTTACTTGGCAAGTAATAACTCGAACATAAATCTTCAAACGCAGTTTCATCATTCTTTATGCTCGTCTAGCTTTACTACGAACAACCACCCCTCAATGTATTTACCATCGTTAGGTTAACACCACATAGATAATCGTACACCGCTTATTTTTCTGCCCTTTCATATTATAAGGCGGAAAATATTACCCAGAATTTACTTCTACCACTCAAGGTGACGATTGTAAAGAAACATATAGATAATCGCCACGTTTACCTTAGGGCCTAAGAGGGAAGTCGAAACGTGATAAACAATGTGATAAACGTGATAAACAATATTAAACATGGAAAACCACCGCCTACGAGATCAGCCATTACCCTCCTTTCTTATTTACCGCACGACAGTGCCAACAGGATCTAAAAGCGAGAAGATAGCGAGGCTCGATAACCGTGAGGTTCGTCAGCCGCTCGAATCGTCGCGAAAAAATTCACCTGTAAGTTTCCAGAGTGCAAGGCGAGTCCTGGTGAAGGTAGAGCTAACAGGATACGGGTACCTGACGTTCGCTAGCCTCTGGCGGGATGCACGCGGCTCGCATCGGTATCGTGTTCACTTTCCACGATTAATTACCGGTCTCGGGCAATCCCCGATAAGGATGACAGAGAAACCGGCTGGGAGGGAGAGAGACGGCGAGAGAAACCCATGAACTTTCAGGGATAACTCTGACGTCGAGACGGTCGAGCGCAATACGCGTTGTTCGGCGCACAAGCGGGCAAATCTCCTATCTAGATATAAATTTCCAAGAATGTGCAGTAAACGACGTGGATAACTTTTTATTCTAGCACATTTTTTCTTTTTTCTAATAAATTCTGCTTCAAGTAATACTCGAAAAGTTGCTTAAATTGGTTCACTTTTCAGATCTAGCTTTGTACATTATTCTAAAATATTTGAAAGCAATTGAATTATGCTAGTGTATGCTACAATTACGTGCATTAGTCTCTTATACTCTAGTTCCACGGAATGATGAGATAAAACAAAAATATGAGTTCGCCTGTTAGAATCAATTCTTTGGTTAAAAATGAATCGAAAAGTCCTTTTCCGTTTTACAATCTGCCCTTTCGTTGTCGAGATACAAGCGGTCCAAGTCACCTGAGTGGTCGCTTTCGCAGTCGTGTGATCGGCTGATTGGAATACAAAATGGCGAGCGCTGGAGAACTCGAACTGTTTATATCTGGATAACGAAGCTTTAAATTACAAAATGGTAAAGGACTTCTCGATCCCTTTTTACATAAGGAATTGATCCTGAACATGATTCCACAATTCTGCTAAGTTCCAACTATATAATTCATACATATAGATAGGAGTGTGCGAAGAGTCACGTAAATTTCGAAACACTGTTTTCGTCCATAATAATTTCCACTATTATAATCGATATATATCTGTAAATACCTGAAGAGGGACGAAACGTCGTCGTCGTTTTAACACAGTATTCCTTGCATGGTTACAAGATATTCGATCAAGTAACTGTTCGCACTCACGCATGAACAAGGAAATCTTCCTAAACGCAATCGTAAATCGCCACCTTTAATTCGCAGTTCGTTTAATAAAAAATTGAATTTCGAATCACAGAACGAAATGTCTCACGAGGAATTCAAAGTAAAACAAAAAAATTCAATCGAATCGACCGAGTATCACGAAGTTCTTTTTATTTGTCATCTATTATTCGAGATTGCCAATAAAGAACACGGAACGAAGAAGCAGAAGCGTGGTTCCTTAACGAGCCCGAAATTATCCTTCCGTTTCGCGGGCCGTCGATATTTATGTGTGTGTCTCTCCAATGGTATTTCGCTCGGGCGCCTCGACTCCCATGCCAATGTATCGCCGTAGCAATTTATTTTTCCCTTTCTTTCTTTCCATTTCGTATAGTTATTTTTTTCCTCTTTTTTTTTTTGTACACGCTGTCATTTATAACCGGAATCTCGCATCATCGCACTTCCGCGTTCTTCTTAACGGCCGCATTGTGAACACATATAAAGATAATAAATATGGATGGAAGGTGTCTCTTTATCCGTGCCTCTCCGTTCCACCGTCGAGACCGTCTCTTTCTCTCGTCTCTCCAGGAAGCACTTGAAGATTCAAGACCAAGGATCGAATCGATCGTTGCCGCGCGGGCCCGATGTTAACGGACCGATCGAGCCGCGGAAAATAGTCACGTTTACGGATCAACGGACCTGGATCGCGTTAATCCTCAATGCCAGACTGATTTTACCCAATTTTCTCTTCGACGCACGCGTGCAATTGTTTCGGGAACGATCGACGATGTTTTGAACGCCGTTTTTCGGCCGAAATTTAACGTTTTATTTCGTTTTCTATTTTATTTGCTCGACGACATTGTCGCCAGGATTGTGTAAGTGTCTACCGCGAGTTGAACGTGTTCGGGTTACACAGGTTGATGCTTAAAGCGGTGTTTGAGACTCTGGGATTGGCACGCTGTCGAATGTAGCGTATGTAGGAAATTAATTGGAGTGTACGGTTTTGGAGGTGCTCGTGTGATATTTACCTGGTTGTTGACGGTGCTGATCGAGCCGAGGCTGTTGGAATTGATAAAACCAGACGAGTGACACTGAGCACCGTACGATGACGGCCTTATATATCCGTAGAGGCCAGATTCATCCCTCGGTCGAGGGAAACCCCGCTGCCTATCTTACCTTAATTCGATTTCTTCGATTTCCTGCACTCAGAATCGCGAAACGTTCCGACGGGATTCGTGCGGAAATTTCGATCGATCGACGCTGAGCAACTATAATTGCTTAAAGGGGACAGGGTTGTCACCGCTCAGAGCTGTCTTGGGAAACAGTCGTCAGCGTCGTCTTATCGCAGAAATATCTGAGATTCAACTTATTCGGTTGTTTAATCACGATGTCGCCGGTCCAAACTTTCATTGATAATTGAAGAACGACAGTGGATTAGATTTATCGTGTGTTTATATAATTTTTAGTGTGATTATTCCGATCAATTTTCAGTGGATTGGTGTTTGGATGCTGCATGGATTTTTTTTTAGATTTTATGTGAAATTTTGAGGGGTGTATTTATTGTTCGAACAAATTTTTATTCGTTAAAGTGTGACGTATTGGACAAAATGGGTTACCAAGAAATTTGTTTCGGTTTATTGATTTTTATTGACGTAATGATTAAAAGAAACTGAACAGCCACTTCCCTTCGTGTAGTTCCATCGTTGAATTAATTTTCCTCGCTTTCTTGATTCAGTTGCTTCTTTTAGAAAGTTTTCCAGTCCTTTGCGTGTTTGCGAGTGAAGGTGTGATTATCAATGGGTCGAATCCTTTTGTATACGTCAGTAATATAAACAGAGTGTACAG